GTTCTTAAAAATGGATTAATTGTAACCTGATTGTTAGTAGGTAAACCACAGGTAAGGTAAACGGCACAAACCCCGAACAATTATCCTTATTGTTTTCCTTACCTGTTTCAAAGTTATAGCTAATTTTCTAAGAGACTGTAAATTTATCTAAAAAGGGGCGTGAGAGGAAAGCACAAGGGGGAGAAGTGGGGACTTTTGGGGAAATACTCATCTCAACATGTTCTAACAGCATAGAAAAATCCAGCTCTGCCAGAATTACTTCCAACATAAAACCTATATTGACTGGGCTATTTGGCCACAACTTAAACACAGGGGTATCCTTACTATTTTTCCTCATTAGTAAGAACCCGATTGGTGCATTCTATTTATATTTGCCTTTAAGTAGGTCATACAAAGTCGTATTCGGAACTTTGTAGGCTTTCGCTACCGAGGAAATTGAATATCCTCATTTCTCTTACCTTGTCACTTAGATGAATTATAAGTGTCACTCCAGCCAAACTTCAAAACTCTTAACGGTCAACTAATCTACCCTCCAAATGTTTCAAAATGGAGTGAAGATGTCTTTTTTGGATCGAAAAACGCTGAATATAGCGTTTCCTATTGGAGTTTAATCCTTAGTGGACTGAAGTTGTTACTATCCCGTTTCAAAAATATTTCGTTCCGATTGGGCAGCCGTTCTGCATTTGGGCGGTTTACCTCAGTATAATCCAACACTTACATAAAAATAGGAAATATATTTACATCCAGCAATAAACTACATGACTTCAATCGATTGCACAGTTAACAAAGTAGTTCAACTTTCAACTTCTCCTTTCTTCCTCAATCGCTTCACAAAGGTCACTCTTGATTTATTCCTTATGCCGATTTCAGATAACAGTTTTTCATCCTTGACGAGTCTTTCTGAGTCGTACACCAAGTGATACGTTTTCCAGATGTATTTCCAACTTATCTTAACCTTTTTTTGCAGTCTGTCCATCCTCCACATTAAATGCCTTTGGATGGCTCTCTTAAGGTCCAACACTGTCGCATCTTTATGTTTCACCTGTAAATAAGAAAAAGTAATTTAGATTTTAGTCAATAACTAAAAGTATCATTTTGTTGGTTTCACTGTAGGTTGAGTAGCATCAAAATGATGACTATACAACTGATATTCTTAGGGAAATACAATAGACTAGCGTACTTTGTTTTAACACCTTGGTCTGCACCAAAATGAGTCTGAACTATTTGAAGTTAGGATGAAAATGAATGGATATGATCAAAGCCACAAATTATGTGTGTTTAGAATCATTGGTGCCACACTCCTCGGCATGAGGGGTCTCATGTCACCTGGTGGTAAGGTGTTTAACTACTTGACTATACTAAAAAAAAAAAAAAACAATAACATTGGAAAAAATCCTGTACAATCAGATAGTGGCTTAACTGTTCAGAAGGTTATTGAGAAGTCACTTGAGTACTGGACTTGAGTCATATATATTATGCCTCCAGGTTCAGACCAAGAGAATTAAAACTAGAAGGATTTTACAATATCTGTAAATAACAAAATTTAACTGTTACAGTACTAATTTAGTTTAAAATTAACAGTGAACGGCCAAAGTTGAAGTTTTCTGAATCGGTATACTACGCCTTAAGCCATTTTAAGAACACGCCAACTTTTTTTATCAAGCCAAACTGAATGGATAAAAGCACAATAACCCTAAAATAATAGAATAAAAATTTTGTCGCCACTAGCGATCAATGTCACTGGACATGAACTAGACTCATAAACGTGCTTTAAAATTTACAATAGGATAAGAAGTCTACTTCATTTGTGTTGGTAAGTCTATGACTCCGCCTTAGTTTTTATTGTAAGTGTCATAACCTTAAAATGAGCTTCAGTGTTATTGCCTAATTCTTAACACTTAAAATGCAAAAAAGAATTCCTTCTGAAATGTTAGATATCCAAAACGAATTTCCCCTTTATTTTTGATAATAGAGGTTTTACTGCATTTGAATTTAAAAAATAGGCTGCAGCTGATCCATATAAATTTGATGTCTACTGTACTAAAATATTCAAAAGCCTAATCGTATTATACTAACCACTACAGGCAGTTCCTCTCCGTCTGCTCTATCAACGTAGACCGTCATTGACTGTCCATGCTCCAGAGCAATCTGAGCGTTAACCTCCTCCAGTGTCACGTCTCTTGGCAAGTCGCTCAGTAATGAATCTCGCTCCAACACCTCATTAAGTGTAGTCTTAGTGATCTCAATGAGATCTTTATGGCTAAATGACGAGATGTCACATTCATCTTCATTGTTGGCCGGCTCTTTACCTCTTGATTCAGATTCATCCATTGTTGCCCTAAAATTGATCAGCTATTACATCAGATATTCAGTACTGATAGCGTTTACTTACTGAGCAAATCATAATAACTCAAATGATAGTACATGGTATAATTTAATCTGAGGATCCTTATTATGGCTCATCATGCGGACGTTAATCTACACCAGGGAGTATCGCATCCTCAGTACATGCCTATACTCTATCCACAATTCGTGACCTAGTAGGTGGATTACAGGATAACGCCACCGTCCCAGTCTTATAGTTATATCTTATATTTTAGGCCTAAGTGAGACAAGTTTTGTTAAGTTAACTCAAACTTGTGCTTCAAGGACTTAAATCATACTTTGTATTTTACAAAAAGATCAAATTTTGGAGCCTATTTGAAGTGTCAGAGTTCAATAAGGTGAATAATTACAGTATATTACTTCTTTTGATGGTAAGTTAACCACAACACAGAGGATACGCGTCCGGTAACCAGACGTGGATTAGGCGTCCGGTAACCAGACGTGGATTAGGCGTCCGGTAACCAGACGTGGATTAGGCGTCCGGTAGGGGGTCCCGGAACGCCATTACCACAATGATACGATGTTGAGCCACCACTGTTCGTGGTGTAGTGGATAGAGTGCTCGGCTGATATGCGAGAGGTCCCCGGTTCGAAACCCATCAGTATCTTTAACTTTTTGTCACAGATTTTGCTTTGAATGTAATTTCTTCTTAACTGTACATCTTTTGTTAGAATTTTCGGCATTTATAATTTTATGTTATGAAGAGAATTGAACCTTCATTTGATTTTTTTCACTATCAGCAAGTTTGGTTGGTTAGGTTAGGTTATGACAGTAACTGCCGGACGCCTAATCCACGTCCGGTTACCGGTCGCGTATCCTCTGCGTAACCACAAACTATTAATCATAGCCCTAAGACTTAAGTTATAGTTGTTATTGCTTGAAGACATTAAAAACTAGATACCTTGGTGTATGAGAGATTTTAGATTTTCCTAATCTGTAAATCAGCAGATTAGCAACCGTAGTTAAATATTAATGGATAGTAAAATAAAATGAACATTTTATATTTTCTTAGGAGGTTAAGACTAAACCAAAGATAAACTAAACACACAAATAAATAACAACAACAAAAAACAGGCAGCAGACGCCAGACTGAGACTTGCTGGCCACCACTGCCACTGCAATCGCATTCGCAGAATCCAGTGAATTCACATCACAATTAATTCCACATAAGGCTTAAGAATCAGGATAGAAAATTTCAAGTCATAATAATATTATGACTATTATTATATTATATAATATACAAGTCTCAAGTTTATAAAATTGGTAAATAAATCAAAACTATCGTATGGATTTTATTAGAAGGAGTTTTTGGGCACAGTAAAAGTTCTTAAGGCTGACGGACTAGAGACCTTAATTTATTATTAAGATATTAGAGTTAATATAACCCAAATAAATTATACCAACGGTATAATCATTGACACATATTTTGTATTTTCCTTCCACCATGCATATTTCAAAAATTGTCTTACAGATTTATCATTTATCACACCGGACCAGCTGAAGCACTGAGTTCGGTTACCACAGATGTTGATCCTCGATTAAACTTATAAAGCATATCTAAATTTATTATATTCCCCTTTGTTGTTGCCTTCTTCTAGGTAAGATGTTTATGCGGTATGCCACCATGTGTATTTCTCCACCGGGTGTGGTCGTGGCATCTTTAGGACGCTTCAGGGGTCTTCTTACTTCTTGAGCCCTCTTGAGTTCTTCTTATCACTAACACTACCCTTACAAAAAATATTTACACACACGTGACACGCGGCCACTATTATCGCGGTCGGGTTGATCGGACAAGGGGTTATGGTATTTTACGGGTTTTACCATGTAGTATGAAGCGTTTTTGTTTAAATGTTTCGTGTCAGGTAGCGTTTGAGTGCGCTAATGTGTCTCGCTTGGTATCGGGTAATATTTGTAGTTTGCGTTTTATTTGATTACAATATCAAGGAATAAGAAGTTTCAAAATAAATGGTTCAACGTGTTCCAAGTACCTATAATATAATTAAATATTATACATTTACCTATATACACTTGGAAAGACATAATCAAACTCAAGATTTTTAAAATATTCCCGTTGAAAAATAAGTGCTAAAAATGAGGTAATATTGAATTTTTACACGATGACGATTTCGTACAGAAAAAAGTGCAGTCACTGAATTATTCCTAAAAAAACATGCATACATTTGTACATGGTACATTTATAACAGGTAATATTTGTTTAACTTCCCTGTCAGTCTCTTTTGGCACTCATGAAAGATGATATTTGTATGTTGAGTTGTTTATTTATTACGACCTATTAACCGTTATCACCCTTTTAAAAAAAACCCATTAGGTAGGTATTTTAATTTCCATTTTTATCTACAGTAATTGACTATTGGATACTGAAGTTGTATTAATAGTCAAAGCTACAGTATATCCGTTTAATGTTTGATTTGATTTGAGTTAGCAGTCACTGTTTTTTTTTCAACCCTGTTGGCAGATTGATGTTGTTATTATATCCTATCCCGTTTGCAGACTGAGAACGCACATGTATCCCGGATGAAGTTGCTATGACAACGAAATCGTCAACACAATATTATACGTCTAATTATTTGAATTTGAAAAATAAAATATCCACTTTAGATACACTACCTATCTAAAGTTAATAAACATTGGCTCAACCCTCATTTTAAAATTATCTCTACATAAAAAATGGATTATGATTATATTAAAGAAGAGTATTTAAGTGATGATGAATACTACTACGAGGAAAAAAGACGAAATCTTGCTTTTCAAAACATTTTGGATGAGGAAGAAATTGTTAGAAAATCCCTAGGAAAAGTTCCTAGCAGAAAATTGGTTAAAGGTAATTAATTATTTTAACTTTTTAAAATTTGGTTTATATTATGCTAATTTATTGAAAGTGGCTCTCGATGGAATTTTAAGGCGTCTTATTAAGAAGATTCGATGTACTTATTGACACTGCACCGTCTCAATAAAATTATTGAAGACATTTCAATTTAAATAGAGCTTTGATTTGTGTATGAACTAAGGTATTATTGAACGCTGTTAAAATACTTGAAATTTATTTATTTATCTTTAAAATTCAACAAAAGCAGTAATATTCAAATTCAAAGTAAATTAGCTTACTGTACTTAAATTTAAATATAATAATATAATAGATAATATGGATTATTTTGTGATTAAATCACGCCATCATCCATCTTTTAGAATAGTCCACTTTTGCTTTGCGAAGGGCGCACGCATTGCACTTCGTTTTAGCTTACTTACCAAAGAGAACACTGTAGTAGGCATATTCCATTCCATTATTGAAGTAACCGATCGGAGCAGTAGAAAATGTTCTAGTGTCAAAAAGTAGTACCAATTCCACTGATAATAATTTTTCTATGCCAAGCATTTATTTAGAACAAGAAAAGAAAATCAAAGCGAAATGATCTTTAAATAGAAGATTGTTTACCCTAGGGTTATCAATATTGTGAGTTAAATGAATATTTGTCCTTTTTAACGACGACGTATCCTTGCGCGTAGGAGGTAAAGCGGCTTAGCCTAGCAACCATCGTCGTCTGATGCCGTAGTCATAGACACCAATAACGCCTCAATCAACAACAAAACAAGGTGAATTTATGTCTCTTTTGTTTTAAGGTTGCTTTTAATATTTACTTTAATAATTAAGATGTCGTAAATAAACATTTTTCCCATAAACGGCTACTGAAATCAATTTCATCAATTATCAGATTCATATTTTGTCCACAGACAGTGTGAGTTTTAGGATGGGACTGACATCAATTTTTACTTAGACAAAGTTATTGTTTACGAAAAAATCTGCTTGCAATACAAATTGATTTATGAATATTCATCATATCTTGAATGCATAACAACAAGATACGTCACAATTTATATCCAGTAAAGTGTTCTTGGCGATCCTTTGATTGTAGGGCACGTTCGGTATTAGCCCTTTCCTTATGACATTATTGGCTAGCTCACTGCTTGCACTTATTTTGAACTGAAACTATTCAAATGCCTTTTTGAAAATCAAAGAGCCCCGGTTTACTGTTTAAAGTTAAAAAACCATAAGGTCTAGCCTATAGGCCCAAGTAATACCGATATTAAGCTAAGCTAGTATTTTGTCGGATAGACAGTAGGAGTTTTAGGATAGGATTGACATCAAATTTTACTCCGACAAAGTTATTGTTTACGTACAAAGATACCTGCTTGCAATACAAATTGATTTAACTTATGAATATCTGTCATATCTTAAAAGTGCATAACAACATGATAGGCTATGTCACAATTTATATCCAGTAAGTTAATTTGTTCATGGCGGTCCTTTGATTGTAACTTAAGTTAGGGCACATTCGGCATTAGCACTTTCCGACAAGGCTAGCTCACTGCTTGCACTTATTTTGAACTGAAACTATTCAAATGCCTTTTTGAAAATCAAAGAGCCCCGGTTTACTGATCACCGTAAAAAAACCATTTAATGTCTAGCCTAACTTATAATAACTTAGGTCTATTATAATATTGGGGCACCTGCATGTGCTAAAGCCTATCGATAAGCCTTAGCTAGCCTAATCTGAATTAAATACCGATAACTTAGTAGGCCTATAGACATAGCCAAGAGCTTGATGAGTAGCCTATATTAAAACTGCAACAGAATAATACTTGTTAGCTTAACTTATTTGTCTGTAATCAGCAAGGTTTTAGTTTGGATCTTTTATATCAAGGCTTAAAAACTTAGTTTGGGATTAGGCCTATTTAGCTTTAATCCTGTTTTGTTTCAAAAATTTATTGAGTTTAATATTTTATGGCCTATCACAGAGGAAACAAGGGGTCACTCTTCAGCAAATGATCAATTTGGCAAATAAATAATGTTCTTTATTTCTTTAAATTACTGTAGGTAGACCTACCTAACTTAAAGGATTAGGTAAGTTATCTAGGCCTAGTCATCACTTGGTAATGCTTACCTATCTAAATCAAGCAGAAAACATCAGGTACAAAGAAAAAAATCATACAAGCTAAGTTACCACAGAACGCAAGTTGTTGGCTCAGGTTAGGTTAGTTTGCGTATTTTCTTATTTTTAAAATCTAAGTTTAAAATCTCACAATGGATTTGGGTATATTTACGCAGAGAACCTGCAATATATTATCAGATGAATAATGTTATATATCGATAACTATCCAATTCAATATAGGCTTATCGTTCCCTATGTTTTTTTTCACTATCTAAACATCCAATTGAATCATGATTTTTTACGATTTTATTGTTACAGTATTTAATCAACCAAAACAATAACTTAGGCCTAATGTATCACCAAAAACAAATACAATGAAAAATAAAAAAAAACCTTTTACAGAATCAAAATTTGTCCTTTTAAAAATCAATACAGTTTATAATGCTGTTAATATGATAACTGCATAGGATTATAAAATTGATTGTTTCCTCCATTTTTTATCTCAATTACTTAGGATAAAATAATTAATTAATAAAATAAATACAAAAAGCTTCTTTAATGTTATATTGTTTTTACTTATCATGGTTTAAAATAATCGATGCAATACCTATTAATATCAAATCGGATACATATTGATATATCGCTAAGTTTAGTCATCTGATAATTTATCGTAGGTTCTCTGCGAAACCGTAGGCCCTACCCATGGATTGATTTACAATTATTAAATTATGGCAAGAAAAAAGTGACTTAGGTTGAACATTGCAAATTTTGTTTTAGTATGGGTAGCTTGGGTCTAGGATTAAGGTCTTTAATGAACGCTAAGTAAGTTATTAGGTAGTGGCCTCACACTAATCTGTAAAACTAAGTATTAACTTAAAGTTGCCAAACTTACCTAAAATAAGTTATGATAGATCATGATTTTAGCTCATCATTTGTAAACGGACTCATAAGTTAGAGCTCCTAAGGTAAGATTTGCCGAGGTAGGTTGCAGGACTGCAGCAATTTTTGGTACTTTGGTAATATCCGGAGGCACCTTTATTTTTGAGATTTTTTTACTGGAGACCAAAAATAACTACCTAGGCTACCTACATAATTGGAAAGAACATACTTTAATTGACTTACTGTCCAAATTTAGCATGATTAAGATTAGCGGCCTTGAGTTCTGCCTCCCAGAAGGCAGCACTGTTGGCGAGGATTGAGTTGAATGCGTCACCGCCGCTATACTCCGCTAAGTAGGTATACAGTGTACTGCGGCGGTTATGTTAGGTTGGGTTATCATAAATATGTTTTTAGGACTTTTCTCGTTTTGAATCAAACGATACAAGATGAGTCATACTTTCGCCCGCCAAATACCCCAGGTTAGGTATACAGGTGATGTGCGCGCGCTTCGGTCAAAAACCTGACCATGGCCTACTTGGAGGGGATTTGGCATGCGAAAGTATGACCCATCCGGTATTGTTCGATTAATAACGAAACGAGGAAAGTCCTACAAACATATTGATGATAACCCAACCTAACATAACCGCCGCAGCGTGCTGTATAATCGTGGCCTCTGAATAGTACCAAAGTACTTAATTTTTTTTTTAAATTGTATCCTGCCAATTGAATTGCTGTGTTAATTGCTGTTAAATTAGTTAAATTAGATAACACAAATTAAGATATCCGAACCAAAAAAGCTGATATATAAACATGATCGTTAATTATAGACTACTGCAAATTAGCTATCATACTAAACTAGAGGACCCTTGCTGCTCCGCAGTGTTAAATAAATATCATATCCAAGAAATAGGCCTAATCAAATTTATGTTTTTTGATTGATTAATACAGTAGGTCATCATAGAAAAACGAAAAACCTAATAAAAAATTTAATCAATTTGTCACTGACTTCAGAATCTTATTTGAGTAGTTTTTTGACCAACCTTCTTTAGATAGTGTTGTCATAAATTCTTTGAGAATTGCTAATGAAGTTTATTGATGATGATCCTGCTCGGAATCAAACGAGCAACACTCACATTTGAAGGTGAACTTTATAACCACTCAACGCCCCAACAGACCAGTCCAAACTAGGTAGATAATAAGACATAATAATAAGGCTGATAAGCTGGCAGAATTGGGTTTTACAGTCTCCTTAAAGGCCTCGGGTACGATACGAATGGTGAGCGGCACGTAAGCGGCAGTGGTGGCTACGATACAAGCGTCACATTTATATGACGCTCATTGAATTTCCCCCGTTATAGGAGCCAGTTTAGTCGAATATGGCAAACTGTGCGGACCTGATGTCAGTGCGGCACCGCTCATACCACTCGCCGCTCGTATCGTACCCGGGGCCTTAAAGCTACAACTCTCTTGAAATTTTATCACAGTCACACCTTCAGCTTGGAAACAGTTTACTTAGAATCAGATTTAAGTTCCTTGTTCTTTTATTCTATTTCTTTGAAGCAAAGTTCGATATTCTCTGCCCTGTTAACTCTATAGCATATAGTCTTAAGGTTTTATCAATTGTAATTTACACCATGACTATGATTAGAGCAAACTATATTGAGGTTTTGAATATTGCATTTAAATGTTGTTAGTCCAGTATTTGATTAATCGGTGCTTAAACTCAACTTTTACCAGTACCTACAGTTTTTGTATGGAAAGATAATTAGGCCTTCTATGGATTTAAACAAGAACTCGTACATTAAAAACCTTTAGGCCTACTTAATTTGAAATTGGTTACGTTCATGCAACCTAATTTCTAATGTATAACATATTTATGTTTCTGGAACAGACACTATCATAATATGACTAAAAACCTACACTACTAACTTCAAAACTGAAGGTAGCTGGTTTGTTTCCAAGCAAGGTCAATTCTTGGCCTTTATGCCATTTGTCATTAGGCTATCAATTAATG